CCCCCACTGACCCCGGGGATACCCCCCCCCATAGGGCATCTCACTCCCCCCCCCCAGTGAGGGGAACAAGGCCCCCCCCCGGACATTTGGAGTCATGGGTTTTATCTTCCCAGGTAACACTTAGGCTGGAGGTGGCCCTGTTTCACCAGTGGGCAGGGTCAGCACCAAAGACACAGACACCAACTGAAGGAATTGTGTCATTTCTATCATGCACAGCTGCAAAGAATTACAAAAGGATAAGCTCAGCAAAGCACATCATCATTAGCAAAGCATTACAAAAAAGCTCAGCAATGCATCCAGTCATTGCTACCAGAGATTGCCTGCAGTGATTAAGGAAAGATCCATCACCAATTAGCCTCAGGCTTTAGCATCAGCCACAGCAACACATCAGCTGGGGGAAGCCAAGGACTGGAGAGCCACTGGGAATTCCTGCAGGTGCCTCCACCTCTGCAGGCAATGAGGCTCCAACCCCAAAGCTGTGAGAGGACCCAGCTTTTACACTGTTAAACAAACAAGCTGGCATCACTGCCACTGCGAGAACATCTGCTTGCATTCTCCTGACTGCTTTCTCCCAAAGCCTGGCCAGGGCTGCAGGAGGAACCAAGGGATTTGACTTTGATCCTTCAGCCCCAAGCAAGGCCAGATGGGGCCTTGTCTCTTTCTAAATACAGAAAGATAAATCCATGTTTTATCAAGGAAGACATACACTGATCATGTTGTTAATCATGTTTTGTTAATGAGTGGATACAAATACAACATTTGCTTGCAAGGTTCATCTAGAGGTGAGCTTTGCCTCAGGGCCTGTTCAGGCCTTGATCACCACAACCTGTTCAGGCCTTGGTACTTTGATCGGTCCTGAGACCTACAATCAACTACAACCTTCGTAACAATTCTTTCAGTAACACAGCTTAGATTTAGGTATTAGGCATAAAGGCATCTCCTCTTGTTCTACAATTAAGTGCAGTTTAAGTTCATTACTCGGAGCTATTCATGTTCCTTTTAAAACATGCCTAAATAGTTGCTATTCTCTGTTATTTATCAAATGCCTCTCTTTTCTTGAGACTGTCTCTTTTAAGAAAGGTCACAATACGCCACTTCCCAACACAAAGTGTCCCAGCAACTCACCAAGTGCACACACTGCAATGATGACAGGCCTGCCACGAATGCATTTCACAGCAGCTTCTAATTTGGCATCCATGAAGCCAATCCCACCAAGAAGAATTTTCTTCTTTCTGCCACTCTTCTACTGCTCTTTCTGTCAAGGTGATTCCTGACTGTTGGCCTTCAAACCCATCACTACTAGCAGTGCAACACCCCCGTCCCCTGATAGCCCAGGTTCCTCCTTGGCCAGCAATCAGATAATCCAAGGCCATGTGGTTCTCTGGAGTCTCCATTTGTGTTTGTTGGAGCTCATAGGATGTGCTATTGGACATTTTAACAGTACCATTTGCTACCTCTTCTAATAATCCATTCAGCTCATTCATGTAAACTCCACGGGATGGGGCAGCGCACATGGGCACAGGGTGAACCAGAATATTTTGCTTTCTGAAACCCAAGGCACTCTTTGGGTGGAAAATGTTCTCTGGCACCCTAAGTCTTCTGTGTGATTGTTGCTGAAGGACCCTAAATGGTGGCCCTGCAGCTGGGAGTGGTGTGACACTGACACTGACCAGCTGCAGCACCCCAAGTTCTACTGACATTGGGAGTGATGGTAAAGCACAGAAATCTTCTGACACTGTAGCCTCTAGAACTATAACAGGGTTTGGTTTCTCCTGATGGGAAATCTGAGTGAATCCTGTGACACTGATCATTGTATTCCTGTGTTCCACAGCAGAGTTTTCTGTAACTGTCCCTTCATTGACTCCGTTACGAGGCAGAGCCCATTGACAGAGTTCTGGCCACCCCACAGGGTTCCCCTCCAAGGGAACCCCATTCCTCCCAACTTCAGCTGAGAACATACCCAGCAATTAGTGACACTGAGTGCTTTGGCTACCTTGGTCTTTACATTTTCAAAACATTTTTGATGACTGATCCCTTGGTGAAACTCTGGAGGTGTTTTGGCAAACAAAGGTTCTGGCTGACTATCAAGGTACAACTTACAGACATCAGTAGTACTTTAGTGACACCGTTCTTCATTCTTTTTGCTCAATGCCATTCAAGTTAGGAACAATAATTCTGTTGTCCATGGAGCTGGCACCTTTTTAATTACAGAATAATGCCCCCAAGGTCCTTCAGTGTTCAGCTTTACCATGTTGTCTGTGGGTAACAAGGCTTGGTGGGCCCTTTCCCCTTTGGGTGGAAGAGGGCCAGGACCTCTGTTTAAAGGAAAAAAAAGGAAAAAGAAAAAAAATCCAATTAGATGAATTGTAAAAGATACAAATAAAATCCAAGTGTTCGTGAAACAATTTCTGTAACTTTGCGTTAAGACGTGAATGATCTTTTTAAAAAGATAACTCAGTTATTTACATTGTAAATGTGCTGATGGCATGGATCCATATTACTGACCTCAGCAGCCTTTTTTGAAGTTTTTGGGGTTTGTTTCAACATTGTGATTTTAAATTGTCATCAAAGCAATATTAAATTGATTTGGGCCCTTCCAGCTCCAGGCAGGACTGGGAATCTCAACTCTGTCAAACCCCAAATCCTTTAGAAGATGACCTTCCTTCTCACTCTGTGAATGAGCTGCACATTCCCTCTGAAATTGTCAGGGGTTTCTTAGGGATGAAAAATCCCACTTACGGCTTTTTGCTCGGGTTTGGAAGTGGGAAGGGCAATTCTCCATCCATCAGCTCCAGACTGCATTGCCTCAGGAACACGACTCATTTGCCAGCTTTGGCCCACTCGTGGCATTTCTAGAGGAGGAAGAAAGCGCAACTGCACAATTCCAGCCAAAAAGAAATGAAGAATGAATAGTGAAGATCCAGGCGCTCCTGTGGAGATTCAGGGGTTCAGCTGGGACTGTGGAGAGTTTGGGTCCTTGCCAATTGGATGTGCGTTCCCAGCTGCAATCTCCTGGCCTGCAGGGGAGTCTCACTCACCTGCCAGAGCAGAAAGCTCAGGCACTGTGCTCAAACGGGCTCGTCTGATGCAAAGCTGTCAGAGCAATGTGAGGGCAGAGCCAGCCCAGCTGTGCCCAGGGCAGAGCCCAGCAGAACCCTGGCAGAGCCCAGAGCAGCCTCAGCACCCACAGAGCCTGGCTGCAAGGAGAGAAACCAGAAACCACCCATCAGCTGAAGGCTCCTGTCCCCTTGTCCCAGCTGCCCACAGAGCCCAGGCCATGCTGGCTGTGCCCAGAGCTGTGCCCAGAGCTGCCCATCACTGCTGCCTTTGGGAGCAGAGCAGGAGGGCAGGACATTCCCAGCCTGCAGCCAGCCACAGCACATCCAGCCCTCAGCAGCTGCCCAGAGCAGGAGCCTCCTTGTGCTTGTTGCCATCATCTCCCAAAAGCTCTGATCCCACCATGCCAAGCAGACGGGGACTCACCTCACTCCATCCTCCGCTGGGAGAAAAGCTGGTCCCAAACAATGCCCTCAGCCTTCTCCAAGGGCACGGCCCATCCACGCTGCAGCTGCTCCCAAGCACTTCCCCACCCAGACTGGACCTTACATAGAACGCTTCCTCTAGAAAAACAAACAACAAACTGTTGAAAAGAGATTAGAGACAAGGGGAAACAAGAAAAAAACTCTTATCTCTGTCAGGGGTCCGAGGAAGGCCCAACCCCTACATACTAGGGAAAATCCCACTCATGGGGGAGAGAAGCCCACACTTTCTCTCTTCCCTCCTGCACTGCCCCCCAAAATAACAGTGATCCCAAAGGAAACAAGGGGAGTGGAGCAGCCCAAGCCCTTCCTTGCCTGCAAAGCAAAGCAGCCCCTGCACAGGGTCTGGAGTCCCACCTCTGCTCCCACCATGGGGGTTTGTCTGTGCCAGGCTGGCTGCCCCAGCCCCAGCCCCAGCCTCAGCCCAGGCCATGCTGGGTGGTGGGGGCTGTTGGCAGGGCCAGGAGCCAACTCCCATCTTGTATCTACCCCAGCCCATGCCCCCAGCCCTGCCAAGAAGCAGCTGGGCAGCCGACTGAAGTTGCATCTGCCCCAGCAAAGGGGGAACCTTTTGTTCCCAGCCAGTCTGGGCAATGCCCAAATCTGGGAGCATTTCCCCGGCTGTGGACTCATCTGCAAATTCGCTGTGGAGCCTGACTTTGAAGAAGGTGCCAGAAGTCCATCATCTTCAGCTGCTAGTGGCCAAGTTGAGGAAGAGGTTGTCATCCTTGATGTCGTCCTTGCTGTCTCCAGCAGCAGCCCCACCTGGTACAGCTTCTCCAGGGGCTCCTTCTCCTTCCCTGGGCGTCAGATCAGGCTGTCACCATTCTGCCCAGGGCCCCAGCTGTCAGGGAAGAAGGACAAGCAAAAACAGCTCGGATGGCAGCCACCAGTGCTGGGCAGAGCAGCTCAGCTCCAGCACAAGGGCTGCGTGTTCCCACCCAAAGACCCCAGTACATTGATACAGGCAGGGAAAAAATCTGGCTTTCCTTGCTTCTGACTGCCAGGGCATGTGTGGAGCTGTAACTTAACAGGGCTCTGGAGCAAAGTGTGCATGTGGCTCTCTCCCTTCTTCTATGGCACATGAATAGCCTGTATCCAAGGATCACAGAACAGGTCTTCTAAGGAAGGTCTGTCCAAGAAGTGCATGGATAAACACCACCTGATAAGATCTTGGCACTCTGGGCTGAGAAACCAGAAACCACCGGTCAGCTAGAGAAGGCTCCTGTCTGCTTTTCCCCACTCTTCCCATGCCCAGGCCATGCTTGATTTGTTCTTAGAGCTGGGCCTAAACTTTCCCGTCAATTCCCTGTTGTGGAGGAGAGCAGGAGAGCAGGACATGTGCCATCCCCTCAGTGGCTGCCAGAGTGAGATGCTCACGAGCCCGCTGCTGTCTCCCAGCACTGGTATTCCCCCGTGGCCAGAGATGAGGATCCACCTGGAGAGAGCCGCTGTGGCAGCGAGAGCTGATGGTCCCAGCTGATCTTCTGGCCCTTCCTGAAAGGGTGCTGCCCACAGACCATCTGGTGCAGCAGGATGCCCAGGGACCAGACTGTTGCTGCCTCTCTATGGTACCAGCCCAAGTGGGTCCATTCCAGGGGGCTGTATGACAGTGTTCCTATGGAATACAGATGGAGTTCATCAGGGGGATGCTGCTGCTTCCAGAGCCTGACCCTACCATCCCTGGGTGTGCAGGGGCCACCCCAGTGGCACACGGGGCGACTGCTGCACTCTCGCCAGCACCTGGGACTTGTGTACAAACTCAGGGCTGGACAAGAAACCACTGGTGTTGGAAGAGGGCAGCAGGAGCCCCAGCAAGGCCTGACCATGACATGCAAAGGAAAAACCCACTCAGGGCTGGGGAAAAAAACATCTCCTTATCCTCTCTGCCTGCACTGCCCCAAAAATATTATGAAGCCAAGGCAAACAAGGTGAGTGGAGCAGCCCAAGCCCTTCCTCTCGCCTGCACACCAAACTGGCTGGTGCACTGGTTCTGGCCCCCTCCTCTACTACCTCCACCCACCGGTGCTTTTGTCGTTCTGGCTGCTGCTCCAGCCCCAGACCCAGGCAGAGTGGTAGGCAAAGGCTGCCAGCGGGGCTGGAAGATGCCTCCCCACCCAGCCCCGCTCAAAAGCAACTCAGCTGAAGACTCAGTACCCTGACTGTCAGCAAAAGGGAGAATCCTCACTGCCACACCCAGCTTGGCCTGTGAGATGTTGGGCCATGAGATGGCGGGACTGGGAGCACACCCCTGCCTGGGCTCACCTGCAAAGTGAGTGTAGGCTGTGTCTTGCAGGTAGGTGCCACAGCCAAAGTCGATCAATTTTGCCTGGCCAGTGGCCAGGTCAACCAGGATGTTCTCTGGTTTGATGTTGCGGTGCAGGACTCTGCAGCTGGTGCAGTGCCGCACGGCCTCCAGCACCTGGCGGAACAGCTCCCGTGCCACCTCTTCACACAGGAACCTCCGTTCACAAAAAAAATGCAGGAGGTCCTGAGACCGCTCCGGCCGCTCCAGCACATCACAATGCTGTTGGGGAGCTCAAGCCACTCCAGCAGCTGGACCACACCAGGGAAGCCAGTGGACACCTTGTCCAGCAGCACGATCTCCAGGGGTGCGCTGGTGCCGTCGGGCTGCGGGAGGACCACGGTGCCACCAGTGGGACTGATGTCGTGCCAGGGCAGGGGAACCCCTCAGCCAGCCCGGGATGCTCTGCGCCCTGCGCTGGCCCCACGCCCGCTCCCCCTCGAGGCGTCCTGGTGGCTTCCCCCATGCCGGGCCTCGCCTCATCCCCGCCCGGCACGGCCCGGCTCTTCCCGCTGGCCCCGCTCACTCACCAGCTCGCCCCAGTGCCGGACGCGGTTCCGTGGCACCCTTTTGATGGCCACCTGCGAGCCAAAGGCAGCAGCGGGCTGAGCTCGCCGCCCGCCCTGCCGAGCCCCATCCTCCTCCTCCTCCTCCTTCTCTCCCTCCTCCTCCTCCTCCTTCCCCTCCTCCTCCTCCTCCTTCTCTCCCTCCTCCTCCTCCTTCCCCTCCTCCGTGCCCGCCGCCGGCCCCGCCGCTCCCCGGGGCGCCGTCCGAGAGCCGCGTGGCTGCGAAGCCGCTGCCGCAGCCGCCGCGCCCCAGCAGCGAACCCACTCGGTACCGCTCCTGCCGGGCCTCCTGCGCCTTCCCTGCGGGCGGGACGCGGCTGTCAGCGCTCGGCCCGGGGGCAGGAGCGGCCCCCGAGCGCCCCTCAAGCGCCCCGGGCCGGCCATCCCCAGGCCTTCGGTCTCGGGAACGGGGCACGGGAGGCTCGGGGCCGGCGGCCGCGCTGCCGAGCGGCGGAGCTCGGGCCGGGGAAGCCGCAGCGGGGGCGGCGGGCGCGGCCGTGCCGCGTGTGTCCTCCGCGGGGCCCGGGAGGCGCCGGGGCCGGGGCCGGGCTCGGGCTGGGCGGAGCCGAAGGGCGGCGATGCCGGCCCAGCCCCAGGCACTGATGCCCGCCCGGCAGCGCCGCCGCCAGCACGGCCAGAGCCGGGCGGAGGCGAGACCGCGGCGGGGCGGGCGGGGACGGGGACGGGGCAGCCCCGCCCGGGGCCGGGGGCGGGCCGGGGGCATGGCCCGGCCCGGCATGGGGGAGAAGGAGGCGGGGAGAGGAGAGGGACACCGGGTAAGGACACCGAGGGGAAGGTGTCCGACAGCGGGGGAGAAGGGGAAAGACGGGAAAGAGAAAGAAGACAGAGTGTTGTAGAATCTCTGCTTTTGCTGCCGATGCCGCCGCTGCTGCCGCCGCTGCTGCCTCTGCAGCTGAAGCACCGAGGCCGTTTGTCCGCGTGTCCGTTCCCCGCTCGCCCCACGAGCCCCACGGCCGAGCCCCGCGCACTCCGGGGACAGCCCCTTCGTCTGTCCAAACGCGGGAACTTTGCAGTGTGGAGCCCAGATCCAGAGTCCAGACTCCTGCACACTGGCAGGGGAATGCCCTCGGTCGCTGCTGTGCATTGTCCTTGCTGAGGCTCAAACACTCTTGGGGCACATTCCCTTGGTGTAGGATTCGTCCCTGACGCAAGCACTGCACTTATGTCTCCAGCATTGCTTTCCACTGAAAACAGGGGAAGGAAAACTGTGTGTAGCTTGAGATAAGTGGAAGATCATTTGTTCACTGTGATATGCTCGCTTACCTTGGTTTGCATAAGAATGTACTGGTGTGTCTTTGAAATGCTTATTTGCTTACAAGGTGATAAGGAGGTTGAGATT